CGAGGAGTGTCTATAGCTGCTTCTCTCTGGAATGGCCTGAGATTTTGGTTGGTCAGTCTTGCATACGCCGCTGATGGTATCCGTTTGATGTGGGCTTCGGGAGGAAGAGAGAGAGGTTCAGTGCGATATTAACCTCTGGTCTTTTTCTCTCTGCCTGAATCTTTTAGGATTTCATTTCCCACTTGGTACTTAGTGTCTTGGTACTGCTCCCTATACCTAGTTTTATTGCTTTGCATTTACTTGAAGTTAAACTCAAGTAGCCATTTGTTGGACTATTCCGTTAGTTTGTCCAGATCATTTTGTAGTCGCTTGCTGACTTTCTTTCTTAATCCTCATCGTAATATTTGTATCATCAGCAAACATTGAGAGGTTATCTTGAGGTTATCTTGAGATGATTTCGGGGCTTTTAGTGTCCCCGCGGCCCGGTCCTCCACCCCCAGGAAGCAGCCCGTGACAGCTGACTAACACCCAGGTACCTATTTTACTGCTAGGTAACAGTGAAAGGAAGGAAGAATAGGGTGAAAGAAACTCTGCCCATTGTTTCTCGCCGGCGCCTGGGATCGAACCCAGGACCACAGGATCACAAGTCCCGCGTGCTGTCCGCTCGGCCGACCGGCTCCCTGCTCCGGTGAGAGGGGCGAGTCCTGTCACTGGACATTTACATATATCAAGAACAGGATAAGTCCGAGTACTGATGTGTGTGGACTCTGCTGATGACATCTCACTACTCTGAGAGCTCCCTGTCTACTGGTACTTACGAAACCCCTTACTCGTTCTCGCCTGATTATCCAACTTAATCATTAGTGTCTTATTGGGGGTTCTGAATCAAAGGCTTTCGGGCAATCCACAAATATGCAGCTTACCCAGCCTTCTCTGGCCAGTCTGCTTTCGGTCACCGGGTTACATTATTTTATCAAGTTTCTTCTATAAATGCTACAAGGCCGGCAATCTGGTGCTCAGGCTCATCACTGAGCAGCTTACATGCATCTGTGGGATAGGTAATGGAAGGTTATATTTACTGCTGAGATAACAGACGATGATAACCACTTGCCAGCATGATATAACCGTCGCCATTGGCGCGAGTGTGAAGGGAAGAGGCTCGTGTTGAAGGATAAAGTGGAGATCCTCCTGGGAGTGACAAGTGTTCCTACAGTAAATCTGTGTATCTATGTATTTATGCATGTAGGTTAGCTTAGCATTTTAAAAGTATCGAATCATCTTCTGTGGTTGATTGTTCAATAAATCCCTGAACTATATGTTTAACAGATCTCTAACCCTGTCCATGGAGGACAGAAGAAAATGTATATATGCTGGTTAGCATTGTTAATGTGTGGCCACGTCTGTGGTACGGGGAAAAAAACAGGACCCCCCCCCCTCCCCGTGCTAACCATCGCCCTTAAGACTGTGAACAAGACACACACACAATATTAACAACCATCTCCCACCTGCTGGGAGGCGGGAGACAGCTCCAATATTCTATATGAAACAAAGTTTATTTACATCTCGAGTACGGACCTCTTTCCTGGACGGCCTGCCACTGTGTTCTGGAGGCAGCAGCTATACTAAGCTAAGCCACTCACGTCCAGAACTATCCACACTAAACTAACCATTTCACCAGTCTTCCAGTCCGAAGAAATGTGGATGGCCTTACTGTTATGTACAAGGCCAACGTTCCCGTGGTTCCCACCTGGTTGAACTTCCTGGACAAGCAGCAGTTGGCTATTAACACACAATACCTTCAACTACCAGCAATTTCATTCTAGCTGTACCATCGTCAGTTTTATCACCCCGTCAGCGTTCACTTACTCCTGCCCTTTACCGCACTTGAAACACTTTCTCACAACACACTCACATGCTCCTCGAAGTGTAGCAGTTGGAGAAATAGACTCCGTGATCCACACACTCATATCCAACCTTGTCGTTTATATAACGTTGCTTAAGTGTTAGGTAACCTAACACAGAGATTAGCGCTAGGCTTCCTAACACAGAGATTAGCGCTAGGCTTCCTAACACAGAGATTAGCGCTAGACTACCTAACACAGGTTAGCGCTAGACTTCCTAACACAGGTCAGCATTAGATTACTAACACAGAAATTATTGTTATTGCAATGATTCATTAACTAGTTTTCTTAGCATAGTTATGTTTATATAACTGTTATGAGCTAGTTTCGACAACTTCCTGTAATCTATTATCTATCTTCATGACTCTTGCGCTGGAGAGGGACTTTTTGCCACTGTCTCCAGTTTTCCATCTATGTTCCCAAGCACCGAAGCTCCGCATTTGAAACACTGTTTTCCTGTCAAGCTGTAAATTCCCCCCCTTTAAAAATCTTGTATGTCGTTATCATGTCTGCCCAATCCTTGTTCCTCTAGTGTGATGAGGTCTAGCTTTCCCTCACTCCTTCCTCACAGCTCAGTTCCCCAACCCGTTCTCGTACTTTCTTACAGTCAATATTGACTTATTTAATACGTGCATATGTGACATACTAAACATACTAGTTTACCTTGAAAAGCTTCATAGAAAACACCGACCTTACCTAACCTTCTTAATATGTTAAGATAAGCATCTTATTGCTTCGTAATTACAATTATTACTTAACCTATACCTATAATAGGTTAAGTAATTATTACTTAACCTATACCTATAATAGGTTAAGTAATAATTGTAATTACGAAGCAATAAGATGCTTATCTTAACATACTAAGAAGGTTAGGTAAGGTCGGTGTTTTCTATGAAGCTTTTCAAGGTAAACTAGTATGTTTAGCATGTCACATATGCACGTATTAAATAAGTCAATATTGACTGTAAGAAAGTGCGAGAACGGGTTGCAGTTCCCTTAGGTCAGAAACGAGTCTTATTGCATGTTTTTGGGTCGTTTCCAGTTTCTCTTTGAAGTTCTTTAGATGGGAATTCTAAGATTTTTGTTTCTTAGAGCCAAAGACGTTCCCTCTGTGAGCTGTGGTTCCCTCCTTCTGTGAGCTGTGGTTCCCTCCTTCTGTGAGCTGTGGTTCCCTCCTTCTGTGAGCTGTGGTTCCCTCCTTCTGTGAGCTGTGGTTCCCTCCTTCTGTGAGCTGTGGTTCCCTCCTTCTGTGAGACTATCTTGAGGCAGTTAATATTTACTCTGTGTTTACCTCGCTTCATTCATCGTTGACAATCAAGAGTCAACCAAACTGTTGGTGCTTGAATTCTGCTGTAGACACTACAGCCAGGTTGATCATAGGCGGTTTGAGAGAACGCGTGAAGGTCCCTCTACAACACCGAGGAATGGTGGTAATTGTCCTTATATTTCTACAGGAAAAAGAGGGGGTTTCTTCAACATTATACAGCTTCACCACTACCACCACTGACGGGACCATTAACCACACCTCACCTGTCTACCACCACTACCACCACTGACGGGACCATTAACCACACCTCACCTGTCTACCACCACTACCACCACTGACGGGACCATTAACCACACCTCACCTGTCTACCACCACTACCACCACTGACGGGAACATTAACCACACCTCACCTGTCTACCACCACCACCACCACCACTGACGGGAACATTAACCAGACCTCACCTGTCTACCACCACTACCACCACTGACGGGAACATTAACCACACCTCACCTGTCTACCACCACTACCACCACTGACGGGAACATTAACCAGACCTCACCTGTCTACCACCACTACCACCACTGACGGGACCATTAACCACACCTCACCTGTCTACCACCACTACCACCACTGACGGGAACATTAACCACACCTCACCTGTCTACCACCACTACCACCACTGACGGGAACATTAACCACACCTCACCTGTCTACCACCACTACCACCACTGACGGGAACATTAACCACACCTCACCTGTCTACCACCACTACCACCACTGACGGGAACATTAACCACACCTCACCTGTCTACCACCACCACCACCACTGACGGGAACATTAACCAGACCTCACCTGTCTACCACCACTGACGGGAACATTAACCACACCTCACCTGTCTACCACCACCACCACCACTGACGGGAACATTAACCACACCTCACCTGTCTACCACCACCACCACCACTGACGGGAACATTAACCACACCTCACCTGTCTACCATCACTACCACCACTGACGGGAACATTAACCAGACCTCACCCGTCTACCACCACTGACGGGAACATTAACCAGACCTCACCCGTCTACCACCACTGACGGGAACATTAACCAGACCTCACCCGTCTACCACCACTGACGGGAACATTAACCAGACCTCACCCGTCTACCACCACCACCACCACCACCACTGACGGGAACATTAACCAGACCTCACCTGTCTACCACCACTACCACCACTGACGGGAACATTAACCAGACCTCACCTGTCTACCACCACTACCACCACTGACGGGAACATTAACCAGACCTCACCTGTCTACCACCACCACCACCACTGACGGGAACATTAACCACACCTCACCTGTCTACCACCACCACCACCACTGACGGGAACATTAACCAGACCTCACCGGTCTACCACCACTGACGGGAACATTAACCAGACCTCACCGGTCTACCACCACTGACGGGAACATTAACCAGACCTCACCCGTCTACCACCACTGACGGGAACATTAACCAGACCTCACCCGTCTACCACCACTGACGGGAACATTAACCAGACCTCACCCGTCTACCACCACTGACGGAACCATTGACCAAGGATGAAGGGGGTAGTCTAGACAGCGCTCATCCTCCACTTAAGGGACTCACCACATTACCATCTGGAGGGACGAGCACAGTACTCCAGGGGCCACGCTACCTAACTGCCGTTCCTCAGGAGTTTAATCCCGTCAAATTACACCCAGATGGGTGTTATCCAACGATACAAGTGTGACTGTAATGTGCTGTAACAGCGCTTTTATACAGGGAAATCCTTGTAATCAACTAACGGCCGGAGTGGGATTGAAGTACGATTATTTGCGTAATTTTTCTCTCCGTGTCAGTCATTACCTGATGAGACAACCCTGGCGCACGGCAGGGTCTGTGGCGTGGTTGCTGTGGTAGGGTCTGTGGCGTGGTGGCTGTGGTTGCTGTGGCAGGGTCTGTGGCGTGGTGGCTGTGGTAGGGTCTGTGGCGTGGTTGCTGTGGCAGGGCCTGTGGCGTGGTTGCTGTGGCAGGGTCTGTGGCGTGGTTGCTGTGGCAGGGCCTGTGGTGTGCTTGCTGCGGCAGGGTCTGTGGCGTGGTTGCTGTGGCAGGCTCTGTGGCGTGGTTGCTGTGGCAGAGCCTGTGGCGTGGTTGCTGTGACTGGGTCTGTGGCGTGGTTGCTGTGGTAGGGTCTGTGGCGTGGTTGCTGTGGTAGGGTCTGTGGCGTGGTTGCTGTGGCAGGGCCTGCGGCGTGGTTGCTGTGGCTGGGTCTGTGGCGTGGTTGCTGTGGTAGGGTCTGTGGCGTGGTGGCTGTGGTAGGGTCTGTGGCGTGGTTGCTGTGGCAGGGCCTGTGGCGTGGTTGCTGTGGCTGGGTCTGTGGCGTGGTTGCTGTGGCTGGGTCTGTGGTAGGGTCTGTGGCGTGGTTGCTGTGGCAGGGCCTGTGGCGTGGTTGCTGTGACTGGGTCTGTGGCGTGGTTGCTGTGGTAGGGTCTGTGGCGTGGTTGCTGTGGTAGGGTCTGTGGCGTGGTTGCTGTGGTAGGGTCTGTGGCGTGGTTGCTGTGGCAGGGTCTGTGGCGTGGTTGCTGTGGCAGGGTCTGTGGCGTGGTTGCTGTGGTAGGGTCTGTGGCGTGGTTGCAGTGGCAGGGTCTGTGGCGTGGTTGCTGTGGCAGGGTCTGTGGCGTGGTTGCTGTGGCAGGGTCTGTGGCGTGGTTGCTGTGGCAGGGTCTGTGGCGTGGTTGCTGTGGCTGGGTCTGTGGCGTGGTTGCTGTGGCAGGGCCTGTGGCGTGGTTGCTGTGGTAGGGTCTGTGGCGTGGTTGCTGTGGCAGGGCCTGTGGCGTGGTTGCTGTGGCAGGGTCTATGGCGTGGTTGCTGTGGCAGGGCCTGTGGCGTGGTTGCTGTGGCAGGGCCTGTGGCGTGGTTGCTGTGGCTGGGTCTGTGGCGTGGTTGCTGTGGCAGGGCCTGTGGCGTGGTTGCTGTGGCTGGGTCTGTGGCGTGGTTGCTGTGGTAGGGTCTGTGGCGTGGTTGCTGTGGCAGGGTCTGTGGCGTGGTTGCTGTGGCAGGGTCTGTGGCGTGGTTGCTGTGGCAGGGCCTGTGGCGTGGTTGCTGTGGCAGGGCCTGTGGCGTGCATGCTGCGGCAGGACCTGTGGCGTGCATGCTGCGGCAGGGCCTGTGGCGTGCATGCTGCCGCAGGGCCTGAACATTGTGCTAGTCACTAACAGATACTCGTCAAAAACTTACTGACAGTCCAGATATTTACAGGTTTTTACACAGTTCGCGTAAACACCTCGAGTATTAACCGCCCACGAAATATGGCTCCGTAAATGACCAACCATTTTGGCTACCGTGAGATGACCACACTACCACGATGCTACCACACTACCATGTAGACACGTGCAGGCTACACCTAGAACCACCTGCTGCGAGGCTCACAGACCCACGTAGCTACCTAAACGCTGTTGATTAGCAGCACTTTAAGGAGCGTGAGCAGTATACCCTCAAGGAGTCGAACTGGGGGCGTCTTGGTCATCCCTATTACGTCTGAACACAGGTTACAGCAGGGGCCCCATCGGCTCCTAATACCCGTCAACTTGGCTCTCACAGAATGCCTAATGGGACCAATTTTTCACGCCTGCTCTTGCGGGCGTCACACGGCGCCCCCTCCCACTGTTGTGATAAATTACTCCAGCGTGCAGATTTGCAATCGTTCCCGTCAGTGTATATATTTTTGGGTTCCAGTTTGGGCTACGCGACGGGTTTTCGGGTCCTGGAAATTTTGTTTCTGGTGCTCTGGGAATTGACAAGTTGTCTGGGGATATTTTGTAACAGGATTATTATGGCGGGTTCCAACATGTGTATTTAAGTGTCAGTGGCGTCCCTGGGTCTCTGGGGTCGTGAGCCCTACCCCCTGAATAAGGGGGAGGGGGGCTACCCCTGTGTAGGGCTCCTCAAGACCTCTGCTGTATGATATTATTTTATTATTCTTCACAGAGGAGAAGTTTGATGTTTGAATTTTTCCCTCGTGCGTTTTGCTAAGCCTATATTTAAACATTTATGTATATATATATATATATATATATATATATATATATATATATATATATATATATATATATATATATATATATATATATATATATATATATATATAATATACTTCTTGACACAATACTCTTTCTCGTCAAGGTGAGCCAAAGATATATATTGTAGTAGAGTACCATTGTCGTAAACTGCTAAGCCACGCCATGCTTCGTGCAGTATACCAGTTTACTTTCAGTTTCTCTTGGCTGTAGCGAGGTCCTAAGTGGCTGTGGTCTACATGGCCTTACAGGTCACTGTCACCAGTGCTGGTGCTGGAATTTGGACCTTTTTCAAGATGTGGCATGTATCACTGCTTGCTACATCTCTCATTCATTTCCCGGGCCTTCTCTGCTTGTCCTCAGCGGCACATCTTGGATCTGCCCTCCTACTTGCCACCCTGGGGCCAGATTCACGAAGCAGTTACGCAAGTACTTACGAACGTGTACATCTTTCCTCAATCTTTGACGGCTTTGGTTATATTTATTAAACAGTTTACAAGCATGAAAACTTGCCAATCAACTGTTGTTATTGTTATAAACAGCTTCCTGGTATTTCGGAGCTCATTTATTGTTTAATAACTGTAAACAAAGCCGCCAAAGACTGAGAAAAGATGTACAGGTTCGTAAGTGCTTGCGTAACTGCTTCGTGTATTTGGCCCCTGATCAATCAGACTTTTGGTACCCGCAACTCGCAGTTTTCTCTATACGTGCGTGGTATTCTAACTAGGAGAGGGGGGGGGGAGACATCCATTACACCTTACCTGCTCAAATATGACTAATTATAGTGATGTCAGACTAATATATATTCCCACATGCACACATTTTATACCATTTGGTGTTTATGTATAACGTAATTGAATGTAATTTTCTGTAGGGAAGTAAAAAAAAGTACCAAGTCACGCGCGCGCGCGCGCTTGGAGGTAACATCCTTCCTTGTACCATCCAGTACTCCGCTACTATGGCTTTACCAAGAGTAGCTGGCGGCGCCACCAAAGACTTTAGTACACATGCCGCAAAGTAGCACCATTTTGGCCACAAATGCCATGAATCAGCATCACTTAAGCCGCAAATAAACTTCCTGGACAAGTGTGGTGGTACTGGTAGGGGGGGTACTGGTAGGGGTTGGTACTGGTAGGGGGGGTACTGGTAGGGGGGGTACTGGTAGGGGGGGTACTGGTAGGGGTTGGTACTGGTAGGGGGGGTACTGGTAGGGGGGGTACTGGTAGGGGGGGTACTGGTAGGGGGGGTACTGGTAGGGGGGGTACTGGTAGGGGGGGTACTGGTAGGGGGGGTACTGGTAGGGGGGGTACTGGTAGGGGGGGTACTGGTAGGGGGGGTACTGGTAGGGGGGTACTGGTAGGGGGGTACTGGTAGGGGGGGTACTGGTAGGGGGGGTACTGGTAGGGGGGGTACTGGTAGGGGGGTACTGGTAGGGGGGGTACTGGTAGGGGGGGTACTGGTAGGGGGGGTACTGGTAGGGGGTGGTACTGGTAGGGGGTGGTACTGGTAGGGGGTAGGGGGTACTGGCAGGGGGGGATGGTGTCGAGTACTAATATTTGCAGACCTTTCCCAGCGGGGCGGGGCTCAGTCCCCAGTGTCGTGGTGGGGGTCGGTGGGCAGCTCCCCCGTGATCACAGCTCCGCCACCGCCACAAAAACGGCTCCCCAGAACCTGTTTTTACTCTCTAAGCGACAAATTACAGGAGTTTGGCCGGTATTATCCCAGCAAAAACGGGCCAAGTGGCTGGGAGATACTTAACAGATATATATATATGACTGCATCTCACACCTGAGATAGTGTATAGCAGTTCACGTGACAGCTGTATTTGGTACTTTCCGCCAAGTGGTTACTATAAGTACTATCATATCTCCATGTGTCTCTGATAGCAGTCTTGTCTTGTGGACACATTACTGGATGTGTCAGAGGGGATGGGATCGATGATTCAGCGCGAATCTTCTCTATTTCTCTTATGTTTTTCGTCACTTTAGAAGTTGAAAAATGAACTCTCTTGAAGTTCGTTTGACCTGAGAGATGTGTTTCGTTAACTTGTGTTGACATTATCAAAGGCAGAGTTTGAATGGTTACAAGGTGATTGATTGATGATGATTGTTGAAGATTAAGCCACCCAAAAGGTGGCTCGGGCATGACTAGCCCGTAAATCACAAGGTGTTGTTGTTGTTTTAGATTCAGCTACTCGGACAACTACTACTTGCAACAAATGTTCCAAGTAGCACGGGCTACGGTGAGCCCGTAGTGGACTTACCTGGCACAGGAGCGGTGGATCACAATGTGTTTTTGCTGCCAGATATATAGCCGAGGATGAGGTGAAGGTGAAGCACTTCACTAATACCAACCAGCCCACTGCAGCTTACCTATCTCCTATGGTCCCATGATGGCTCGCGCCGTGTATTATACCACACACAACATGGGTGTCTATAGCACTAACTCTTGATGTCCCGCACGCTAGTCCTATTGTGTCTGTTGTCTTATAAACTGATAATTCTGACGTTCGGAGTTTTTGTCGAGTCTGGCCTTTATGTTGTGGGTGAAGGTGACTTCCATAACTCTTTGACCACCCAAAATACTCACCCGCTGGTTTTAAAGCTGCACATTTTTCCTTCTTGTTGTGTCTGCTTCCCCCCACCATACTCCACCCCATCCTCCCCCACCATACTCCACCCCATCCTCCCCCACCATACTCCACCCCATCCTCCCCCCCACCATACTCCACCCCATCTTCCCCCCACCATACTCCACCCCATCCTCGCCCACCATACTCCACCCCATCTTCCCCCCACCATACTCCACCCCATCCTCCCCCACCATACTCCACCCCATTATCCCCCCACCATACTCCACCCCATCTTCCCCCCCACCATACTCCACCCCATCTTCCCCCCACCATACTCCACCCCATCCTCCCCCACCATACTCCACCCCATCCTCCCCCACCATACTCCACCCCATCCTCCCCCACCATACTCCACCCCATCCTCCCCCACCATACTCCACCCCATCCTCCCCCCCACCATACTCCACCCCATCTTCCCCCCCACCATACTCCACCCCATCCTCCCCCACCATACTCCACCCCATCTTCCCCCCACCATACTCCACCCCATCCTCCCCCACCATACTCCACCCCATCCTCCCCCACCATACTCCACCCCATCCTCCCCCACCATACTCCACCCCATCCTCCCCCACCATACTCCACCCCATCCTCCCCCACCATACTCCACCCCATCTTCCCCCCACCATACTCCACCCCATCCTCCCCCACCATACTCCACCCCATTATCCCCCCACCATACTCCACCCCATCTTCCCCCCACCATACTCCACCCCATCCTCCCCCACCATACTCCACCTCACCCTCCCCCCCATACTCCACCCCATCCTCCCCCACCATCCTCCACCCACCATACTCCACCCCATCCTCCTCCATCATACTCCACCTCACCCTCCCTCATCATACTCCACCCCATCCTCCCCCAACCATACTCCACCCCATCCTCCTCCACCATACTCCACCTCACCCTCCCCCACCATACTCCACCCCATCCTCCCCCTACCATACTCCACCCTATCCTCCCCCGCCATACTCCACCCCATCCTTCCCCACCATACTCCACCCATCCTCCTCCACCATACTCCACCTCATCCTTCCCCACCATACTCCACCCCATCCTCCCCCACCATACTCCACCCCATCCTACCCCCCCATACTCCACCCCATCCTCCCCCCACCATCCCTCCCCCCACCATACTCCACCCCATCCTCCCCCCCCATACTCCACCCCATCCTCCCCCGCTATACTCCACCCCATCCTCCCCCACAATACTCCACCCCATCCTCCCCCACCATACTCCACCCCATCCTCCCCCACCATACTCCACCCCATCCCCCCCCCACCATACTCCACCCTATCCTCCCCCCCACCATACACCCCCTCCCTCCCCACCCCCCCCCCCCCCCCCCATCTCCACAAGCAACGATTCACCACAGCAAATGTCTCAATTCCCCCAGCTAACGATTGCCATCTGAGCGCCGTATTTCAGCACCACCCTTATTTACCCATTACTTTATGGGCTCTGAATAG